GGAAGCAACTTGAACGAGATGGGGACGCTGAATCTGAAACAAAAGCAGCCAACACCGTCCAGATTGAGCAAGCTGATGGCTAAAATGTTTACATGGCAACGTAGCTGCGCCTTGTCGACGCCTAGCCGCCATATTCGGGGACGCGGTAGTGTGCCAAAGAGAAGGATGATCCAATGGCTCAAGCTGATGTGCGCCCTATTGACATGTGTTTCGTCGATATGACTGTGTTGTGTGCCCCTTTATCGAAACCTGAAATTCATCTTTCTTGCTATCGTTTTCCAGACTCCTCAAAGAATGAATCGTGTCCCGTGATGCCTATCAGGGCTATTGTGGGAGACTTGAGACTGAGAAGTTTCAATCTGGAAGCTGAAGAATCATCAGCCAGGATCGTTTCCTGGGTGTTGTCAAGATATATCGGAGTCTGGCCGCACCGCCCTAAGCTTCATCGAATGTGACTTGGAGTTGTAATCATGGTCTATACGCACGCATAATACAGCATAGGACAGTCGTCAGTAGTGGTCTACCAGCTACCGCTGGATCGCACAGCATCCATCCACGAATTTTGTTGGATTACGGGCTTGAAAACAAGCATTTTGTTCGGCAGGCTTTCAGATTATCTAATGTGTGCCCCATGTTCCTCCATCGAGTTACACATGGCACTTGCCATTTGATAGCCACTATATGGCTAGATAGGTGCCTTCGACACTTCCATAGCACTTAGATAGATAGTCAATCACACATGTGCGTCATCACTATAACTTGGATTCGAGAACCTCGGATCTCGAGGTGAATCTATCTGATATGGTGCGAGAAGATGCAACTTTAGTGCTTCTTCTTTAGATGATGGACAATCGCCAAAGACCCAGTCAACACCCAACCAGCATTCACAGTTTCGAAGCCTCAGACGCCAGAGATGCAGTCACCATTCCCTGTGATCGATTTACCCCAAATATTTCCCAGACCCAACGCCTGCATGTATATATACAAGATAATGCCCGTCATATCATTCAGAAGCTGTTGTCAAACTCTCTTACTTCTTGTTGAAAAAGCTGCTCGCTGCGGACCCAAGACTGCCCGTGTTTTGGTTGTGTTTGCTGTTCTTTCCATGCTTCTTGTTCTTCTTTGCATAATCCTCAGTCAGGGAACCGAGAATGGCGCCGCCCAAGGCGCCCAGCACACCGTGGCCCACCTTGTGGCCACCGAATGCGCCCGCAGCACCACCCGCGGCGGCACCTAGGAGGCCACGGTCTGCCTCAGGACCTTGTGGGCTGGTGCCGTTGTTGCTGTAATACGCGGTGTTGGCGCCACCTTGTTGGTAGGAGTTGTCGGGATAGGAAGAGGCGGCACGCGTGTCGGGGTAGTAATTTTGAGGGTTGTGGTATGCTTGGGATTGATATGACCCTGAGAAGCCCTCGCTGGGGTAGGAGCTCTGGCTGTGGTATTGATTGTTCTGGTCGTAGATGGGAGCAAAGGCGAGATGTTGATCGTAGGGGCCAGACATGATTGCTGATGTAGTGTGATGAAGGTTGATGGAGAGGGAACTGTTTGTCTTGGATGTCTTGATGATGATGTGGTAATGTGTAATGGAAAATTATGGTACAAGAGACGTGGGGATTCTCACTTTTATATTTTGCCTTCTACATTGATGCCTTGATCTACAAAACTTCCCTCTACGTAGTTCCAAGACGTATTCAAGGAGGCGTGCATCTCTAGACTCCACTAGTAGGAACCAGTCGGATATTCAAGTCTCCTCTCCAACCCACGTATGAGAGGAGAATGCGAGCCTTTTTGCCATCAACGTTCTGGAAGATTTCCAAATCCGCGCGAAGATGATGGCATGGATTTGGGACAATTGACGCTGGTGAGGCGAGGCGATATTTGGGCCCCTGGGATATGCAACATGATTGGCTGTGACGCGGCGAGGCGCAGGCGCAAGGCTGTGCATGCGCTAGAAAAGTTTCCGATTCGTCGCCACAATCACCATTTTCCTCCCTCCCCCATCACTCTTCGCTAATCCCAATCTCTTCCGTCTTGCCCTAACCTCCCCACGTCCTCGATTCTGATGCGGTAAACAATCAGCAAAGAGGCACAGCTCGGTGGACGCGCCATGGACCCATACCCCATTGCTTCTTCTCAGCGCAAAACAACGGTTTGCTCCACGTCAGGGTCGTCGGGATAGTGGAATAGTCTCCATACAAAAATCCACATGACTTCGAAAACCGTTCCAGATCCAGTCCGCTGTGCGAGTATGCCTATTTCCTCGAGTTTTCTCGGCATTGCCCCTTGCTGCTGGTCATCATGAGCCACTCGATCCCCCGGGGGGGGCTGTCCGAGCCGACTCCTCGCCTCGGGTGGCTCTGATGACAGGCAAAGATTGACAATCAATTTTACTGCTTGATATTGGTGAGGCCTGTCAGATCCACCTTAGTTGGCGGCCACTCCCAAGTCAACTCTGACCTTCCTCTCACCTACCTCTCTGACTAAAGGGGTTCTGGCCGCAACAAGATGTGACGAGTCGCAACCCAAAGAGTGAAAAATCAACCCTGGAATACTCTCAGAATGAAATACTCCAGGATCACACTGCGGAAGAGAATCTGGTCGCAAGCACTCGGTACAATGCGACACTAGAGTATGGAGTTGGGATGTGTACAAGTGTTATTCTCCAGTGGATTTTCCCCATCTTACAAAATGACAACTCCCCCATCTTTACTCATTGGCCGTGCCTCCCAGTGCATGAGCTCTATCTATTCTATCTTTTTGACTCTGACCTCAGTACGACCTAGGCAGTCCGAGAACCCTTTCACCGATATAGTTCTTGATCATCTCTCGACTGACGGGTGCAAGCCGGGGGATCATGATCTCCCTCAAATACCTCTCAACATGATACTCCTTCGCATACCCCATACCACCGTGCGTCATGACGGCTCTCTCACAGGCCCGGAAAGCTGCCTCGGCGGCTAGGTATTTGGCCGCGTTTGCATATTCCCCAGCCTCGTATCCTGCGTCATACATCCTTGCAGCCTGGTAGATCATGAGTCTGGCAGCTTCGAGCTCCATCCAGCTCTCCGCTAGAGGGTGCTGAATAGCTTGGTTCTGCCCTATGGCCCGGCCAAACACGACTCGCTCCCCAGCATACAAGGCGGCTCGTCTCAATGCGGCAAACCCTGTCCCTAGGGCTTCGGCTGCAATCAATATCCTCTCAGCGTTCATGCCGTGCATGATCATCTTAAACCCGTTTCCTTCTTCTCCGATCAGATCCTCTTTGGGCACCTTCCACCCGTCAAAGAACAGACTGTTGGAATCCACCGCCGCCCTACCCATCTTGGGGATCTCCTGAACGTCGACCTGTTTCCGGTCCAGATCCGTGTAAAATAAGCTTAAGCCTTGGCTGGCCTTCTTGACCTCCTCTAGGGGTGTCGTTCTCACAAGGATGAGGATCTTCTCTGCCACCTGCGCTGTAGAGATCCAGATCTTCTGTCCACTTAGCCGGTAGTATTCGCCGTCCCGGACAGCTCTCGACTGTAACCTCAGGGTGTCTAACCCCGTGTTTGGTTCTGTCACGCCAAAACACGCCTTCTCCCGCCCTTGGATCAACGGCACCAACATCCTCTTCTTCTGCTCCTCGGTGCCAAACTTCCTCACCGGTTCCAGACCAAAGATGTTCATGTGCACGGCACTCGCGCCCGCGTACGCCGCTCCGGACTCAGCGATCGTCTGCACCATGATGGCCGCCTCTGCAATCCCCAGGTCACTCCCACCATATTCGGACGGCATGCAGATACCAAGCCAGCCATCCTTGGCGACGGCCTGCTGGAACTCGGCGGGGAAGCGGTGCTCGCGGTCCACGGCGAGCCAGTAGTCGTCCCCAAACTTTGAGCACACTTTGCTGATGGCTTCGCGGACTGTGCGCTGCGAGTCTGTGAGGTCCGGGTCGTGGAGTTGGAGGTATTCTGTCCCGCGAGCAGCGGCGGGACAGGTGGTGGAGAATGCCGCCGAAGACGAACGGGGTAGAAGGGAGCGGTAGGGTGTTTGTATGGGTGCTGCCCTCGCCCTTGTTGCCAGGCCGTGGATCAGCTTTGTTACCGTCTTCTGAGAAGCCATGTTTGTGTGATGTCGAGGTGCCGTAACATGCGAGGGCAATATCCCGACGCTAAGTTTCTCGAACTGTTTGCTCCGGAGACTCAATGGATCTCGCCCCTTTTTGAACAAGTCGCTCCGCTCCGTTCTTTGATTCTTGTTTTTCACCTTGCACCTCCTTCACCGTTCTTGGAGGCGCGTCGTTGCACTAGAGGATGAGTTTGGGGTTTTCTGTACCGAGTTGTCAATTCAAGCTCCGGATTTAATTAGTTAGACAGCCGACCTGATCGACAAAATAAAAGAGTACCCTTCGCACTAATTGATTCGCCAGGTAGTTTTGGTAACCTTGGTAGCTTTGGTAGCTGTTACATGTCTATTAACATGTGTACCGAATACTCCCCTACTCCCCGCACGAAAGCCTCGTCAGCCTCGGTCTGTGATGATTACATTTAGGCAGTGCCCACGGCTCTGTGTGTGTGTCTCTCTATTACCCCAAAACCCAAACCCAAACCCAAACTCACCGCCCAATTGTTGGGCCCCGTAGGCCCGGGATCTACCCGATGCAATATGTGCGTGCATGTCAAGTATCAAGTACATAATAAGTACGAATTGTGTGTAAAGTTTTCTTTGAGTTTGAAGGCGTATGTTCCATTGCATACAGGTGCTTGCGAAGGTACAGGTAACCTACGGCTAAAAGCAAGCCCAAAAGCTTGGGTCAGAGAGCATTAGTCTGTGAGATTATTATTGGTCCCTTACCTATATACTTCTAGAGGCTCTTCTGGGGGAAAAGGGAGGAGTAAAGAAGAAGGAACAGAGGGGGAAAAAAGAAAGAGGCGAGGAGTGGAGGAAGAGGAAAAGGAAGAAGGAGGAGTGAGGACAGGTGAATCACGCGTGTGGTTGAACTTGATGCTTCATCCTCCACAATGACAAGACCAACACGTCTCCTACCACTACTCGGACGGCACGCCCTGGTAGCAAAGCCGCACTGTGGAAACCTGCCAAACAAGTCCGCAACATCACCGTGGATATTCTCTACAAGTACAAGTACACGGAGATGGCTGTCCACACCCACACCTACCAGCAGCAGCAGCAAACCACCTAACCGCCTCCCACTCGAGGGTCTCAAAGTTCTCGACCTGTCCCGCGTGCTCGCGGGCCCGTTCTGCACACAGATCCTGGCCGACTACGGCGCGTCGGTGCTCAAGGTCGAGCAGCCCGGGGTGGGCGACGAGACGCGGCAGTGGCGCGCACACGGCGAGGCGCAGAAGTGGAAGGCCGAACACCCCCTGATGAGCCTGTACTTTGCCGCGGTGAACCGGAACAAGAAGTCCGTGACGGTCAACTTGAAGGAGGCCCGTGGCCATGAGATCGTCGCCCGCATCGCCAGCGAGGGCGTCGACGTGGTCGTGCACAACTTCCTACCGGGCAAGATCGAGGCCATGGGCCTGGGGTACGACCAGTTGAAAAAGGCTATGGGCCCTGTCGCGGGAGAGAGACTCATCTACGCCGCCGTCAGCGGGTATGGCTCGTCCGGCCCCAGTGCACAGAGAGCAGGATACGATGCCATCGCGCTGGCTGAGGCCGGGCTGCTTCATATCACGGGCGAAGAGGGCGGGCCTCCCTCCAAGCCCGGTGTGGCCATGGCCGACTTGTGCAGTATGACCCCCCTCCCTCTTTTCTTATAGACCACTCCTTCTCTCTATCTCTCTGAAAACTGAGTGGGCAACCTCCTTCACTATCGCACATCGGCTAACAAAGACTCCCAGCGGGCTTGTACACGCATGGTGCTATCTTGGCGGCGTTGCACCAGAGGGACAGGACTGGGAAAGGGTGTTTGATTGAGGGGAGTCTTTTCGAGAGCAGCCTCAGTCTACTCATCAATGTCGGCTTGGCGAGTCTGAATCTGGACCTTGACAAAGGTCCCGAGGCCAGGAGAAGAGGAAAACGACTGGGTTTGGAACATCCTAGCTTGGTACCTTATGGAGGGTTTGAGACGAGAGACAACAAGATGATGTACGTGGCGGCAAACAACAATAGACAGTGGAAAGGCTTCTGCAAGCGAATGGGGATCGCTGGATTGGGCGAAGACGAGAGATTCAGCACCAATGACGGGAGGGTTGAGCACAGGCACGAAATCAACCGGATTCTGCAGGGCAAGTTTCGAGAAAAGACAAAAGACGAGTGGATGACTGCATTTGAAGGCATCGGACTGCCTTATGGTGCGATAAACGATGTTGTCGAGGCGTTGGAGCACCCTCAAGGCAAGGCACGGAATATGATCATCGATGTGGAGGATTTTGAAGCAGCGAGAGATGGTGTGTTGAGACTGATTGGACCTGCAATGAAGTTCGAGGGTGCGCAAATGGACGTGAGGTTGAAGCCACCGTTGCTGGGCGAGCATACTGACCAGGTCCTACGAGGGCTCGGGTATGGCTCTGCTGAGGTCGCTGAGTTGAGGAAGTCCGGCGTTGTCTGACGAACAAGCATAGACCTTCACGAGCTAGACATAGATATAGATCAAAGGAAGAGATATGGGTGGTTTTGTTCAGAGACCATCGTGGAGATCCGGTAGATCTAGTCTTGTGTGATGATAGTACAAGGGCAATCCATTTCCTCACCACTGGAAAATGTACAGTGCTTTGATATTTTTGTGATTCTTGAACCCGCGTCTACAACCAACAACCCCCAGCGCCCAGCAAACACACATCAGTGTGCATCAGGTTGGGCGGTAATGTACGTGACAGCTTGGTCGACTTGATGGTTATCAGCGAGGGATCTTTTGGAGGGATCGACGGAACATACCGCTGTGAATGGCATCAGCCTCCTTGTCCGGGATCTCGATGCTGAACTCTTCTTCAATAGCCATCACGACCTCGACGGTATCCAAGCTGTCGAGTCCAAGGTCATTCTGAAAGTGCGCCGTGCCACTGATCTAAAATAGGCCGTCAGCAATGCCTCAAACTCACGCCATAAGACCGTGCTACCTTTGATGCATCAGTGACCTGCGGAAGTTAGCAGTTGCAATACCATCACACGAGACAGGTGCGCACCTTGTCAAAGTTCTTCAGAAGATCCATTATTCTCCCCTGCACCTCCTCTTTCGACAAGCCAGCAGGCGCCGAGTAGTACCGTATGCTTGGAACAACGAAGGAGGGAGTAACTCGTGATGTTTGCAGCAGGGAGGTAGAGATTCGAGATCGGAAAGCAGGTAATTGTCGGGGGACCTGGGTCCTTGTGGCCGCATAAAGCGCTCGTGCAGCGCCTGCCCGAATCATCTTGCCCTTTGGTCTGAGGGGAACGGATGGAGGTAAAGAAGAATGGGAATGCTGGTGAGGCGGGAAGAAGCCTTTCGCTGGTTGTAGGTAATGATTGAATTTCTGGATGGACATGCAGACAATTGCAGCAGCTTCGGGAAGGGAAGAGCTTGTTGGGGTCACGTGGAGCCAACCAATCACATTGCAGTCAATCCTATTACAGCATCAATGACCTCTGCATCTCAATTCCATCCTGCACAACGTCTTCTCTGTTGCGCTCGCCACGCATCGCCAATTCTCAGTCTGCAACTTGCACGGACGATGGCGTCGTCACTTCGTCCAGCATCGCGGCTCGTCGCGAGGCCATTTTCAGCTTCATCAGCCATCCTACGACACGCAGAACGGTCACCTTTCCTGCGAGCCACTGCCACAGCTCAATTTCATTCTTCAAGACCTAGAAATGCCCTACCTTCCGGTCCTCCGCCGCAGGGCTACAGACTGCCGAGACCCAAAAGATTCGACGAGGGTGAGGGAGTGATGGATAAAGCTAGCAACTACTTTCTTCTCACCGAGATGCTGAGGGGAATGTATGTGTTGTTGGAACAATTCTTCAGACCACCGTATGTCAATCAATCAATTAACGACGATTTCAATCCCGGAGAAAATCATACTGACATCGTGGCTGCAGCTACACAATTTACTATCCGTTCGAAAAGGGCCCCATCTCACCACGATTCCGAGGCGAACACGCATTGAGGCGCTATCCTTCTGGCGAAGAGAGATGTATCGCCTGCAAGCTCTGCGAAGCCATTTGCCCTGCCCTAGCCATCACAATCGAAGCCGAAGAAAGAGAAGATGGCTCGAGAAGGACCACCCGTTATGATATTGACATGACAAAGTGCATCTACTGTGGTCTGTGCCAGGAGAGCTGCCCTGTTGATGCTATTGTGGAGACACCCAATGCCGAATATGCAACAGAATACCGAGAGGAGCTCTTGTACAACAAGGAAAAGTTGCTTGCAAACGGTGACAAATGGGAGCCTGAATTGGCGGCTGTGGCCAGAGCGGATGCTCCTTACAGATAAAATGGTCTTGGAAAGACCGCGTGCGCACACATTCTCAAATTGTACATAAGCTGTGAATCAGCATGAAGCAGAGAGTGGCTTTGCAGCGAAAATCACCATAAATTGCATTTATTTAACAGAGGTTGCTTTTCAAGCGCTGGAGTGCACTATCAGCTTAGATCGATTGGTTTGAACAACTTCGCGCAAGCTCAAAGGCCTCAAACTGGACGTGCTTGAGTATTTCTATTCCTTCGTCCCATCTCCCCCACGCCATGCGCCTGATTGCATCCATCATCCCAATGCGCGCATCGTCAACTCGACTCTGAACGCTGACTGTTAGCCACGATAAATGCGTCACCAAAAGTGGAGGGAAAACTTACACTGCAAAGGTACCTGCACTGACAGGCATCGCCCTCACCAATGTAGGCCCAATGCCCTTCCAGAATCCTCTCATCCCGTCAGCCTTCCACGTTTGTGCAAAGCAATCCCTCATGGTCTTGTATTTCTGTTCCTTCCCAAAGCCGTCGCTCTGCATCTTACTCTTGATCACATCAAAAGGGTAACTAGCGATCCAGAGTGCTTCACCTGCAAGGCCTCCATAGAAGGCTACTTTGGGAGACGAGATATCTTCGCGGCGAACGTTGTTGCGTTTTTGCTCTAGAGCCATCAAGTATTCGAAGGTCAGGAACCAGACACCGTAGGCTTGTGCTTCTCGGTAGAGTGTGACCGCTTGACCACGGTAGAGACCCCGGAGGACGCCTTCGTGCGCCGATAGCTTTTTGATACAATCGAGAGGACCACTGTAAAGGCGAGCAGCGCCATGTGGCTGAGTCTGTAGACGGATACGCACATGCTCGATAGGGCCAGACAGAACAGAGTTTGTTAACCCTGCGAAAGCTCCAGCCAGATAGTATTGGCCATAAGAGAGACCTGCTGGATGGTTCGCGCGCAGGTTTTGCTCCTCAAACGCCCGTCGAGCATAGTGGAAGGCGCCGAATTGAACCGAAACACACGCCCCAATGCCAATCAACGGGGTGAGAGTGCCTTTGTAAAACGCCAGTGGTCCTTCATTTTGGAGAATGGATGATGCACATGATAAGGCGCTGGGATAGGTGGTTGTCGTCTGAAGGCGAACCTTGACGATGTCTAAGAGATTAGTCGTGAGAAATTGCTGGGCAGGAAGCAAGTCGATCATAGCTTACCGAATGGTTGACCTGGTAGAGAGCGTTAGTGTGTGAACAAGTACGAACCAGCACGACCAAAACTGCTTCACGACGATAAACAAAACCACCTTTTCCAAGGAAGTGGCGACAAAATCCATCCCAGGACACGTCGCTATCAAGATCACCGTAAACTCATGCCGTCGAAACTCACCTAGTAGAACCTGAGCAACACCCCCAGCAGCGCCCGCAAATAAATCTTTGGCAGTTCTCGCCCAACTGGTATTTCCAACCTCGTGGGCCTCAATTGCTTCGGCACCATCCGCCATCTTCTAATGCTGCTGCTCGATCGATCTCCCCAGCTAAGGCTCACCTCATTGTCGACGAGACAGAATTGTGTTTTGCAGAGGCAGACTATTTCAGTATTAGATTCTTTTTCCTTCGCGGCACGTCATTCGTTAGCTTCTTACGGACGGCACTCCGTCGCTGTCGCGGGTTTGACCGCTGGTTCGTGATTGGCTCTTTTAGCTGGACGAGGATGCTGCTCGTAGGGCTCCAATGCTCGCTGTACTGCCCGACAAAGTGCTCATCGGTCAGTATGGCATCTACAGCATCTGTGTTCGCTAGGGAGGGTAGATTAATTTGTAAAAATGAAGTCCTGTGTTGGACAGCAGACTTCCTGGCACCCATTGCATCGAGTAGAATTGCGCTTCGCGGTCGGTGGACTCCGAAGTAGGAATCTGGGCTGAGTCTCTTTTGATTCACCCAAATGGGGTCTTCCCAAAAAAAAGTTGTAGATACGAAGTCGATGTGGCGTGTCTCCTATTGAAGTCAGTAACGGAACAAAACCATCCGACTTGGGTGAGGCAACAACAGACCAGCATGCGTCGGGCAGTGACGCGAAAGGTATGTTCATGCGGTCGTCTTCCATTATATGCTCTACGAGATAGACACTGACCGGTCTACATCAGCTGTTACAAGGGCAAGACATCTGCTTTTTCTGCGCTTTCCGATACGCCGCCGAGTCTCGCCATGCTAGCTCCCTCCAACCGCAGCGTCGACTTTATAGAGCTGCCAGTGCATCAAAACGTCCAGCTGGAGCAGCAGTCGCCCGAATAGAAGAGGAGGATGATGATTTCGCTCCCCCGGCGGCGCCAACACGAGAGCTTCTCGGCTGGAAATGCCGTTGCAATCACATCAATAAGCCTGCGAGATCAGAGTGTACGATATGCTTGAGTTCTCGTCCACAAAGACCTGAAATGGTCTATTCGGATCACAGTTCATCACTCTTTCCTCCTTCACCTCTCCAATCTCTTCCTCCGTCAAACGGTCGACCCCGAAACGGTCACAGCCCTGCCGGTGAAAGCACAATATCAGAGATCCTGTCCCGCACTCAATCGGACTTCCAACAGAGATCGCGCAATGAACCTCCGCCTGATCCACGATCCCGACCTACACAATCTCAGCGCCAGGAGCAGTGGTCTCCAATGGGCAGAGCTCGCCGAGACGATAACGGCAATAGATTCGATAGGAGAAATGGTAGGGGTAATGAACTCTCGAGCGAGGCCTCTCCCGAAACCGAGCGCCCACTTTTCAGATACTCGCATATCCGGAAGCCATCTGCAGACCGAAGAGGGAGCGACAATAATACGAATGGGTTCAGGAAAGAGCTCGGGACTTCCTCTCCACCCTCAAGGATCGGCAATGCTCTAAAATATCGGGGACCTGAGAGTAGGACTGCTGGAGAATCACGCTGGTCGGCGCCTTTTGGGGGAGGAGTTGGATCAACCGAAGAGAAATCCAGCGCTCCCCTCTTCCGATCTTCACCGAGGGACTCTCTTGGCCCCAGAGAAAGCGATCGAGAGAGGCGAGTCTCGAAACCTACTGGACAGGATTTCCCAAGGCGTTTCCCGCATGGATCTAGAGCAGACAAAGAGCCGAGTATGAGGGGTGCTCGAGACAATGCCTCAGTCTGGCGACCTGATTCAGCGGGTGGTCGGCAGAGAGCATTCGATGCAAGAACCAGCAGGGACCGACCTGTAAAGAGAACATCCGAAGCATCGGAGGGGCAAGCTACTCACGAAGAAGAATCGGCTGTGCTAGTGCAGACCGAGCTTGGAGAGGATGCTGAAGGCGACAGGCGCAAGCGAAAACTCGCAGGTGGCAAAGATCTTGACAGAAGAGCTCGGCTTTATGAAATCGAGGACGAGGAGCCTCAACAGGTGTCTCGAAGAGCTAAGCTTCCTACCGCTAGGAGAAGTGGTGTCTCTAGGGCAGGTTCATTGGACTTTCACTTTGACCCCGATCTGGCGGATGAATTTCCCGACGAAGCAAAGGCAAGACGGAAAAAGAAAGGGAAACAAGCCAACGCGAAACAACAAACGCCAGCACGCCCAGAAATACTTCTTCCAGAGTTCATCAGTGTGGAAAAGCTAGCGCAAGCCCTTAAAGTGAGACTACCAGACTTCGTCGACAAGCTTGAAGAGGAGGGATTTGAGGGTGCAAGGTACGACCACGTTCTGGATTCGAGCACGTCTGCCATGTTTGCCGAAATCTATGGGTTTGAAGCTGTCGTCAAAACCATTGATGAGACTGGGGATATCTTCCCGCGTCCTGCAGCGGAAGATCCTTCGACGTTGCCGCCCCGGCCACCCATTGTGACAATCATGGGTCACGTCGACCATGGGAAAACCACCATCCTTGATTACTTCAGGAAGGCGAACGTGGTTGCAACCGAGCATGGGGGCATCACCCAACACATTGGGGCTTTCTCCGTCACGATGCCTGGATCAGAACGTAATATCACGTTTCTGGATACTCCTGGGCATGCTGCATTTTTGGAGATGCGCAGAAGAGGTGCTGTTGTGACCGATATTGTGGTCTTGGTTGTTGCAGCAGACGACAGTGTCAAGGCTCAGACGGTAGAAGCCATCAAACACGCCCGGGAGGCCGGTGTGCAAATTATCGTGGCAATCAACAAGGTTGACAAACCTGAAGCCGACATTGAACAAGTCAAGCGAGATCTGATGCAACACGAGATCGTCGTGGAAGACTTTGGAGGAGACTACCAAGCCATACCTGTGAGCGGCAAGACCGGTAAAGGCATGGAAGATTTGGAAGAAGCTATTCTCACTCTAGCTGACGTTGCCGACTACCGTGCCGAAAACGACGGACCAGCGGAAGGGTGGATTATTGAAAGCAAAGTCGGTGCCACGGGTCGTGTCGCCACCATTCTCGTTCGTCGTGGGACTTTGAGACCAGGCGACTTTATTGTTGCCGGCACTACCTGGGCTCGTATCCGAACTCTGCGAAACGATTCAGGAGAATTGATTGATGCTGCACCTCCGGGCACCCCTGTCCAAATAGATGGCTGGCGAGGAGATGATCCCGAGGCAGGCCTAGAGGTATTGCAGGCAGACACCGAGCAGAGAGCAAAAGAAGCGGTGTCGGTAAGAAAAGAGCGCGCAGAAGCAGCCTGGGAGATGGACAATATGACGGCGATCAACGCAACACGCGCAGAGGAAGCGGCAGCTCGAAGCAAAGTCCTGGAGTGGGAGAAAGACCAAGGTTATCTCTCAATGGGGTACAAACGGCGTCCCAAGGACAATGAAGGCTGGATCGAGAAAGAGTCTTCAGGGCCTCAACTTGTTCATTTTGTCGTCAAGGCTGATGTGGCTGGCAGCACAGAGGCCTTGGTCGCTGCTGTGAGTGCCATTGGCAACAACGAAATTCGCGCAAACATCGTCCACAGTGGGACGGGTGGCCTGACCGAATCGGACATCAAAAAGCTGGCTGCAACGGGCGAAGTTGCTTATGCCATCTCATTCAACCAACCCATCGATAATGACATCCGTCAACTTGCAGCGGCTGCTAGGATTCAGATCCTTGACCACAACATCATCTACAAGGTTACCGACGAAGTCACGGAGAAGGTCAGCGCAGAATTGCCTCCAATTGTGACCCAGCGCGTGTTGGGAGAAGCCGAGGTTGGAGATATCTTTGACATCAAAATCAAAAAAGGGTCAATAAAGATTGCTGGGTGCCGGGTGACCAACGGTACGATTCGCCGCTCGGAGAAGATCCGAGTCTTGAGGAAAGGCGAGGTGATTTACACTGGTAAGTGGTTTCATGAGTACTTGGTTGTGGGGTCCACTAAAGAAGCACTAGGCACGCTCAATTCTTTCAAAAACATCAAGAAGGATGTTACCGAGATGCGGAAAGGATCTGAATGCGGCATGGGTTTCGAGAACTGGGAAGCATTCGAAGTGGGCGACCAGATCCAGTCATTTGAGGAAATCAGCGAGAAGCGAGCCTTGCATTAGCGCCCTACGTCGACCAGCTGACCAGCAATGTTTCTTTTGGAGAAAGTAGTTCTCAAAGAGACTGGGACAGAAAGCAGCAAGATGAAACAGGGCAGTGGAGGTGGAGCTGGCGGCTCTGCATGAAGCCGTTGAGGCCGCAAGGCTGGCGCCCTTTTGGGGAATCATCCCCAGCCAATCATTCGCCTGTCTCGGGCTGGTCTTGGCAACATTTCCGCCCCTGGCAGCATCTGCTTTGATCTGCCTTGGCCTCCTGATCACCAACCATTCCTGTCTCTGCTCTTTCTCGGAAACAAAGATGCTCTTCTGCATAGACGACTTGCAGCTGTTGCGTTTGTTTCACGGCATAGAGGAAACATGTTTCAATCAACAGACATAGAATCAGATTAGAACTGCCAGAAATACCACCACGCTGGTGTCGTCAATCTGGTACGCGCCGCCTCACGATACTTCAAAAAGGTCCACAGCAGTATCTGGAGCAAGATGTGCGCTGGAAACTCTTCTCTCATACATTTGAATCTGTTTGCATAGCTAAGGAGTCTTGTTCACTTCTACCTTTCGGTTTACACGCAGGCGTCCTTCGACAGTTTAGTTGACCATCTTCCGTCCGCCACGGTTACACTACTGTACCTTGACCTCAGATACTGCTGGACAGTCATGCATACCTTCGTTTCCATAGTTGGCCTCCTGTTTCTGTTGACACTCATCTCAGCAGGTCCCATTCACAGGTATGTTTTCACCAGTGTTACGTGAACAGATGTTGATTTCGTCGCAGGCCTGATAATGTAATACGTCGTGTGGACCAGCCACAGAAACGCTATGTGGTGAACAAGCTCTCGGTGACTCGTGGACCCCTGAAGAGACGACAAGCTCCTACAGATCCGGTGAACCAACAGGCTGCATCGCAAACCACGCCGAGTATCAACCCATTTGCTGCCCCGACAGGGAGTGGAAAGGAAAACGGAGCGGTCCCTGCTGTTGGGGTGGGAGGCGACAATACGAGTCTGATCAGCTTGCTGACGCAAACCACAATCGCATTGGCTACTCAGGCAGCGGCGCCGAGCGAGACGGTAACTGCTGCAGCCGAGAGCTCTGCCGCTGAACAGACGGCTGTCACAGAGGGCTCTACACCGAGTGGACCGGAGGCGGTTGGGTCCGGAACAGCCATTCAACCCAATGCGGCGCAGACTGCGGCACAGGAAGCACCGACCTCGACGGTCACGGTACAAGCCCAAACGACCATCGTGGAGACCGTTCTTGTGACAGCCCAAGTCACTGCGGCCACTTCAACCACCTCGTCAGATGCCGTGGCAGAAGCATCTCCGTCGTCAGATGCAGGGGCTGGAGACCAAGGAGAACAACAGCCTGCGGGGTCTGTGACGACCGTGTTTGTCACTGCTAGTCCAACCTTTACTGGTCCTACTGCTGGGTACACGACGCTTACGCCGGACTCGAACGGCAATGCCGCAAGCACCGCCACCGCTCAAGAGCCGGCGCCAGCAAGCACCACACCTCCCAGTTCCCTGGGCGCCGTTCAACCCGCGGCCGACACAGCTACACTGCCGTCATCGTCTTTGCCAGCACCAGCTTCTGAAGCCACACCCACGTCGAGCGTGGACTCGGGCGCGGTGACTGCGTCTTCAGCAACAGCACCATCAGCAACACCCGCTGCTGCAACCACGACTTCGACGACGGACGGCCTGGCCGTGATTCCAGTGACGCCCGACGCGACGCCGGCACAGGCGCAGGCGACGGTGACGGAGACGGTGACCATGACCATGACGGTTACTGCGCGGTGAGACATGGACTGTGAAATCGGCGCATGCGGAGGGGAAAAGGATCTCACATACCTGTTGTATATATATATACCCAGACAAAATACGTTGTGTTCCGTGTGAAACTGATGGATTTACAGCGTCCAATCAGAATCAGAATCAGAAGACGACGAAGGAGAAGGAGTAGAGAGGGGGAAAATGTGTGAATAGATGAATGTATTTTTACCAAGATGGACTTGAACTGACTGACTGACCGACTACATTGATTGGGATTGGGATTGGTCATTGGCCATTGATTTTCTCTTCCCCTTTTCAATCTTGTCAGCTATCATCTCGTCTTCCTCTTCCTTTGCCGCTCTCACCTTCTAGCCCTAGCACTCACCCTAACAACAACAAACAATAGTTCAACATGGCTGGCAGGCAGGCAGGTAGGTAGGGAGGCAATCACTCGGTCAATCGGGTCTCGCTGGTCCGCGCCTACAATTTTCGTCTTAGGTCTTAAGATCTCCCCATCTTCAAATTCCATTCCCACGTTCCCAATTCCAATTCCAGATCCGAGTCCCGATTCGGGCCTCATTTCCAGGAGAGACTAAACACCTCCGCCCCGGCCTTTGACAGCCCGATCTCGACATCTCCTTCCTCGGTCTTGATACTCGTCGGGACCCTCTCGCCTTTCCTCTCCAGCACAATCGCCCGCGTCGGATCGGGCAACTTGTAAAACCGCCGGGCCGAGCGACTGAGGAACCCCTCGAGGTTGTCCTGCGTGACTTGCTCGTCGGACAGGACGCCGCGGGCGATGGCCTCCTCGAAGGCGAGGAGGACGAGTTGTGTGGCGAAGGGTTGGGTGAAGACGCCGGCGGGGACGGGCTTCGCTTGCGTTTTGGAGGAGAGTGCGTGGGGGGCGGAGTCGCTGCCACTACATCGAAAAGAAAAAAAGGGGTCAGATTGAGGAGATGGAGGTGCAGGTGGAGGAGGTGGGGGGAATATATAGCAGGTAATATGTGTGTGTGTGTGTGTGTGTGGGATATCAATCTATAGCATTCAACAAAGTGACATTGGGAGGCGGGATTCTTACAAGAAAAACTTGGGGTCGCCGCTGCACGCCGCCTGGATCAGGGCGTCCCGATCCGACGCCTTTTTCGGGATCGGTTTACAGAACGCCAGGGGATCCACGTTGCTGTCATCGCCAGTCAGGTAGAGGTGGTGTGCCGTGATCGTCCCCACGACTGACGGGCCGCAAGCCCGTACGGCGTCCAGCGCCGCGGCGGTGGAACAGTGCTACAAACACAATGGTCGTCAATAAATAACATAGCTTCTCCATATGACATGGGCTTTTCTAAGCGAAGACGATCGACACACTTACCTCGAGGACACATCGGAGCCGTGGGAACCTCTCGTGAAGCTTCTTCAGTTCCGGCAGGAAGGCTTCTTCGAGGGTGATGTCGTCGTTGGGGAGAGGGCCCGGCCACTCGCCGTGCAGGTTGAGCACGAGGTCGTGTTCCTGCATGGCGGCGAAGACGGGGGAATAGGCGTTGAGAAAATCCGCGGGCACGCCTGACTCGGAGTTTGTGGTGACGCCTGGTTTTCGAAACAGGGTAAAGGATTGGGTTAGTACCGCAGAGGAAAGAGGGGGGTGGAGATAAAATAGTAGACCTCGTCGATGGCAGATGTGGTCTGATTGGCTTTCCTTACCTTGAGGATACATCTTGACTCCAGTAATGCCCGCTGCTGCGGCCTCGGCGATCACTTCCGGGGTGATGGAGGGATGGAGCTGGATGTTTTCGCCAATGTTAGAAGGCCGTGTGGAAGATTTACTTTTTGGCGTTGGAGCAAAGCAAGCATGGGTCAATCACTCACGTAGAGCGACATGAGATACTGGACTCGAGGTTCGATGGACTGGAGAGCAGATTGATACTCCAGAGCTTGGGAGACGCTAGTGATGGGTGGTTGGAGATTGGGCTGATGGTGGAACAGTTAGTGATCTATCTTGGAAGGATAGGCACTGCGTACACACCATGACAAAGACGGTGTCGACGCCTCCGTTCAAAACCTGCCGAGCCACCAATTCCATGACCTGATAGCAAGAAAAGACTTTTTCAGTTTTGTCCATTCCTCCCAAGTATCAAGAGGTGGTGGTCATTTACTCTGCCCTGCCGGAGATGGACGTGCATGTCTGCCGTGGGTGGCAGTTCTAGACGCTGGACTTCTCGGAGTCTCATCTTGTACAAGTTGTTATGAGGACTTGGTTGGTTTGTGAGTGAAGAGTTGTGGGAGAGGAAGAGTTTCGTCCTGATGGCTAGTTCAGTGGATTATATAGACTTCGGTGGGTGTTCGGACTGCCGGCTACAATAGATGACAGGACGACAAAACAGCGATGGTGTGTGCACTTGTTATAGGTATGTATGTAGTTATATGACATGAAGGGCTCGAAGGTCGTCAAGGTCTCTTGTCTACCCACTCTTTGAATCGTGATGAGGTGGAATGGGGAACACAAGTTTTCGACACTAAACCAAGTTGGTCAAGCAAGTCAAGCCAGGAACGGAATTCAGAGTTTCGGGATCGACAGTGGATCTCGTGTTGTCTTGTTGTCTTGTTGTCTAGTTTAAAGGGGAATGTTGCCAGCATGTGGGAGAGATCAGTTATTTGTATGGTGTAAGGATACAACGTGGTAAAGATTGTGGTGTATACGAGACAATGTCTCTTGTTCCTACCCACCTCATCGTCGTCTGCTGCCACGCCATCTACCTGGGCCCCGGCCCTGACTCGGCCAGCGAGGACGAATCCAACTGGCTCATTGAACCCTTTCAGAGTGGCGAAACAGGCACGTACGTCAAACACGTCGAGGCCGGGGTCAAGGAGCTGGCGAAAGACCGGGAGAATGCCATCCTGGTGTTTAGCGGTGCGGCCACCAAGCCTGACAAGACGCCCATCACCGAGGGAGATGGCTACTTGGTAAGCACCTCCTATATGTGAAGAGCACCAGTTGATTGAGTCTCTGCTGAACGGACATGAACAAGAATGTGGCTATCGAGCATGGTCTCTTCGGGTTGGACAACAATTCTACAACAATACCAACCCTGAGACAGCGCATCTTCGTCGACCGCTACGCCACCGACTCGTACCAGAATGTTCTCTGCTCGCTGGTCCAGTTCCCCCTCTTTGTCCGACAACTCCTGTCAGAGCAGCAGCAGCAGCAGCATGGTCAGGCCGCCACCAATGCGCCCTTCCCAACAAAACTCACCATCGTCTCCCACGCCTTCAAACGCGCCCGTTTTCTCGACCTGCACCTCCCGGCGCTGGGCTTCCCGCCCACATCAGCCTCGACCGTCTTCATCGGCATCAACCCGCCCTTTACCGCCGCAAAACTCGCCGAGATCGAGGAGGGCGATCGGCTTCGCGGCTACGGCGCCTGGGAAAAGGACCTGTACGGCGCGGGGGAGGGCCTCAGTCAGAAGAGGGAAAAGAGAGGCTGGGACGGCGAGAGGTTCCGGACCGAGGTCCTGGAGAGACTTGGCGACGAGAAGGGGATGTGCAGGAGAGAGTTGGAGGGGTTGGTGGGTTGGCGTGGTGGGATTGACGGCGTGACCTTGTGGCAGGGTCGTGTTCCGTGGAAGGGAGTGCGCGAGTTTACGGACAGTCTAGTATAGCACAGTTGAATCACATTGAATCACGTTGGAGTCGGCCGGCGTGATGACAAGCACTCTGATGTATTGCGAGACGAGACAGGACAAGACAAGACAAGAACAATCTATCAAGACCCTCACATGGAGCAATTCCCCTTTCTCATACGGACTGACCACCACACCCGGCACACGATTCTAGGACATTAACCTCCTGAATCCCCCAGCCGTGGACTCTCCTCTTCCAAGCACCATCGTCCCGTCTCAGTACCGTGGCTTCGACTTCTCAGCCCACACATCCATCGCCTTCACGACCGGAGCTTGCCCAAACTTCACCTGTTCTCGTAGGATCTGTTCTCGGTGTAGCCAGTGGATATCGGCACTATCGACAACCAGTCGCGGATACATGTCGCTGGTCCAACTGACAAGGTCCGTTGGGGTTGAGGGGGGCGGCGATCTTGGTGCAGCTGGTGTTGGAACTTGGACGAAACCTGGGCTTGGGAAGGGGACGGGTGCAGCAGCTATGTGGGTCTGGGACGGTGCTAACGCAGGAATTGAGGGTTGAAACGGCGCAGAAAATGACGGCGGATAGTGATTTGGTCGAGGATGCGGATGCAGACCCAGCCGAGGAGTCAGAATCTGTCCCTGTTGATGCATCGGATATGTCGGTCGCTGGATACCTTGAGAGAAACCAGGCCCTAGATAATAGTGAGCCGCGGCAGAGGAGGAGTAAGGTTGATACGGGGCGTGATGTTGGGCAGGAGCTGGACCGTAAGCTGGTGGAATGCCGACGGAATTTCTCATAGGACCATATGGGTGTTCGCCTTGGTACTGTCCTTGAGCAGACATGCGCGCTGGGGGGTTGTTCCTGGGATAATCGTGCCACCCTTCATATGGGATTGTTGGACCTGACGCCCGATACAGTGCTGGAAATGGACCCGGACCGAATCCTGTAGCAGGAGTGAAGCCTCGAGCAGCTGCGTTGAATGGAATCCCCCAAATAGGTGGTTGTTCTGACCCTCTCGCAACTCCCTGATTGCGAACATGTTGCAGAGTATGCAGAATCTCGACGCTGGTGCCAGATTCCAACGACTGATTGCGCAGGCGTAGAAAGAGCTTCCGTGAGATGACACGCCACTTAGAGTATGAAGCGTGCTCTTCAGCTCCTCTCAGGGCGCTTGTCACTTCACGGAGAAGCCAGGGACCATCGCGAACCGTAAAGCCTTGCGGTGCTTGGGGTGTCCGGCTCACATAGGTTGAGACCGAAAAGTTCTTGATTTGAGCGGCGACGGGCCCGGACACGTCGGATAGGCATGCTAGGAACTGGGTCCAGGAGGTCGTTTGGTTGATAGGAAGCCGAACTCGCATGTTGGAGAGTTTGTCGACAAAATAGAACGGCAAGGATTCTGATACCTGAGAAGACATGATTTGGGGAACGGGGCCAACAGAGATAGAAGGTATTTTTCCAGTTGTGATGAGGAATTCTGGACTTCAACACTTGCACCTTCTATTTGGAGTTGTGGAAGATTTATTTCTATTTATTAACGAAATGCCTCTACTCACTTGTTTGCTTGATTGACAGCCATGAAACATGGTCTTTGTGGATATTCGCTTCGACAATTGTATTGACAAAGGTTAGAAGAAGGCAGGGAACTTGCTACCGTACCGTTGAGCAAACACACCGCCCATCGTGAAGCATGTCATTGTTGGTTCAAATTCTCCCAATTATAGAATCTGTACCCTCCCGTGGTTTGTCATGAACAGAGTGTGAACTGGTATTAGCACACTACTGTATTTGGCCCTGCGACGTAAAAAGGCGAGCTCAGATAATGAGGAACCCATAAAAGATCAGAAGTCATATACAAGCGACGCATTGAAATGCTACCAGTGCTTGGAAAGCTCTTTTGGACATGTCTTACCACTTGTGGCCTTCGGAAGCGTGTCAGCAGCTCGACAAAGAGCCCTGGTCAAGATGCAAGAGTGCATTTCCATCGACTGGTACAAGGGGTGTACGACAGGACGACCGCAATGATTAAATGACATGATTGCCGCTCGCCTTTCATTGTTAGGGTTCAGATCGAATGAAACTCCCTGATAGAAAATGATGGAGTAAATGAAAGGGAAAGTCCCAGCAACGAGTCGTGGTTGATACGAAACACTCATAACCGAGTTGGACTAGTGAGATTCAGCGACGCTAACACAGAAATAGAAAGTTGGCCGATCGGACCGAATCAAATGGGAAGACGAGGCTGAGCCCGCCAGCCTTGAAATTCCCTCAAATGCACTAAACTCGATTGGTCCTACAACCTTGAGCTCCATCTCCGGGAAACACTGCGTCTCCCCGGCCAGCGGCGTTCTGCTCGCTACAATTTCTCAGCGCTTTTAGCTTCTTCCAGCTATTTGGTTGCTGTATTCCCTTTGCGACTGTTGGTCGCTTCCCTTCATTGTCCTGTCAACTTCTGATTTATTGACCCAGTCACTCTCAAGATGCTCAAGACATTGGTACCCCGGACGGGCCGGTCGCTCCTCTCATCGAAAGCTCCGCATCTGGGGCCAGCGAACCTCCGAACCGCTCCCAGCTTCCAGATCGTCTCCCAGAATCAGCAACGGCGGAGAGGATACGCTTCGGAGTCCTCAGAATATGACATTGTCTTCATTGGGGGCGGTGTCGCAGGCTATGTTGGTGCAATAAAAGCAGGCCAGTCAGGGCTGAAGGTACATATATCCTAGTTTGTGACTCAAAGAATATCTGGGAACCGGCACTCTGACACTCTGGGTAGACAGCATGTATTGAGAAGAGAGGAAGTCTCGGAGGCACATGTCTGAACGTCGGATGCATTCCCTCAAAATCTCTGCTCAACAACTCACATCTCTACCACCAAATACTCCACGACACCAAGAAGCGAGGCATTGACGTCAATGATGTCCAGCTCAACCTTACCCAAATGATGAAGGCCAAGGATGAATCTGTTGTTGGCCTGACGAAGGGTGTCGAATTCCTGTTCAAGAAAAACAACGTTGACTACATCAAGGGTACGGGGACATTTGCAGATGAGCACACCATCAAAGTCAACCTGCTCGAGGGTGGCGATACTGAGGTCAAGGGCAAAAATATCGTTATTGCTACTGGAAGCGAGTCAACACCATTTCCTGGTCTGACGATCGATGAAAAGAAAGTCATCACCAGCACAGGTGCAATTGCTCTGCAAGAAGTGCCCAAGAAGATGGTGGTTATTGGCGGTGGTATTATTGGCTTGGAAATGGTATTTCAGCTTCTATCCCCCTGTTGATATGTCTATTCTAACGTGTCACCAGGCTTCAGTATGGTCTCGCCTGGGCTCCGAAGTCACCGTCGTCGAATTCCTTGGCCAAATTGGCGGCCCTGGCATGGATGCCGAAATTGCCAAACAAGCACAAAAGATCCTGAGCAAGCAAGGCATCAAGTTCAAGGTCAACACCAAAGTCACTCAGGGCGACGCCAATGGTGATGGCGTCAAGATTGAGGTTGAAGCTGCAAAAGGTGGCAAGAATGAATCTCTGGACGCAGACGTTGTGCTCGTCGCCATCGGCCGTCGACCTTACACCGATGGCTTGGGTATTGAGAACATCGGCGTCGAAGTGGATGAGCGCAAACGGGTGGTCATTGACCAAGAGTACCGCACTAAAATCCCGCACATCCGATGTATCGGCGACGTTACCTTCGGCCCTATGCTCGCACATAAAGCCGAAGAAGAAGCAGTCGCCTGTGTCGAGTACATCACCAAGGGCTATGGACATGTCAACTACGGTGCCATCCCATCCGTCATGTACACGCACCCCGAAGTCGCGTGGGTCGGCCAGAATGAGGGCGAGCTGAAGGCTGCTGGTGTGAAGTACAAAGTGGGCACCTTCCCCTTTACCGCCAACTCGCGTGCCAAAACCAACCTCGATACCGAAGGGTTGGTCAAGTTCCTCAGCGATGCGGAAACAGACAGGATCTTGGGTATCCACATCATCGGACCGAACGCAGGCGAGATGATTGCAGAGGGCACATTAGCTCTCGAATACGGCGCGAGCAGCGAAGATGTGGCCCGGACATGCCACGCCCACCCGACACTGGCCGAGGCGTTCAAGGAAGCGGCCATGGCCACATATGGAAAAGCCATCCACTTCTAAGCGCGCAGGCGAGGTTATCAGGACCGGGGCGTATGAGGGAAGATGCAGGTGCCGCGCTGAGACGGCTAGTGTTATCTGTGTCCGTTGAACAAAGCGTTGTCTGAAAATGACCAGGGAAATTTGGGCAGCACACAAGCAGCATTGTACTTGAAAAATACCTACCTACCTAGGCATGTAAAAAAAATATTCTTCAAAGAGTCCCCCCACCCACAAGAATACTTGGGGACTTATCCAGCAGAGCATATATCGAGTACATGTGACGAGTACGGAGTGGTTCTTGACGATATGTTCACGGGTACACAGTGGTTAGAACGCACTACAAGATCTCGTCGTGAGTCATCGGTGCCCTTGTTAGCCATATCCCGTACGCCGTACCCTGCACTCCGTTTCTCTGTACTCTGTAGTCATGTACGAGGTACTCTGTACTCAATAACAAACACTGTACCCAGTACGAAGTACACCACATACACCTACCTACCTACATTACCGGGGGGCTCGCTTATCAGCGCTTACCGTCGCCGCCGAGCACAAGGTCCAAGTACTCACTCGGTGGTGTCGGTAAATTCGGAGTTTTGTAATTAGGTATTCCGAGTCTAGATACCTCGCAAAGTGCGGGAACTCCTCGCGCATTGTTGCGCGGGGTGACGTCGTTGGTCGGCAGTCGGATAGTCGGACTCATGTTCCCGAATTTAACTCGGTGCTCATGCTCGGGGTTTTCATCAGTTTATCCCACCATGGCCTTTACTATTTAAATCAGACGGGACGAACATTATGTGATGTGATCTGAATGGAAAGGCAATGTTGATGGAATCACTGTTCAAAAGACCGAGTTCTAACTTGCGCATATCTCCTTGATTACTGCTACCTGACAGCTACTTGAAGACGGTATTCTTCTGCCCATCACAAACAAGTCATGACAGCGCCCAGTAGACGACCATGTGCCGTATCATACACATTAAGAGCAGCTGGACCAGTGAGGATCATCTGCATTACCCAGATCTTGCACACATTCGTTTCATAGCAGACATTCATCTCACGCATTCTCTCCGGTTTCTCAGTCTCTCCCGTCTCCATCATTGGGATGTTGTTGTTTATTGAAACGCCGTGCTTCCAAGCATGCAAAGCAGTTATTCTAAAGGGAGTGACAGAGTTGATTTCCAACGCCGATTGAGGAGAGTCGAGAAGCAGCGAATCAAAATACACCAGGTATTTGTCGTCCAGATTAGGCCAGCTTTGCTGTAGACCGATTTGCCGCCCATTATCCTCGTTGGGGTTATCATAAAAAGCGTGGCTCGCAAGGTGTGTCGAAGGCAGGATTTAGACTTCGCAGAAAGTTAGCTCTCAACTCCCAAAGATATCCGGAGAAGTCTTCAAGCATACGTGATGCAGAGGTCGAGGAGCAGGATTGGGCCTCTGTGTACTTCTCCATTTCCCAAAGCTTCTGCTCACATCTTTACACCTGAGACATTGCTGGGCGCGCACCTCTAGAGCGGATAGGACCTCTCAGGTTAACACCGCCACTGCGAGCATCGAGAATAGAGAAGAATAAGCTAGCCATCCAGGCTGCCCATGCGAACCAGAGGAAAGCGGTAGCTGCCTGTTCCTCTCGGCATCGGCCTTCCCTGTCGTTGGAACCGTTCGTAAGGTGGTTGTGGAGGGTATATTCCTGTCAGAAGCAGTGAGCCAATGTTTCTCCAGGAGAAATGCGCGCATGCGCAACATGAGGGGGGTCGTACGTCATTGCTGCAAGAATGCGCCCCGAGCTCGGCAGCCATGGCGACGGCGGCGCAGAAGAGGAAGATGCAGTTAAGAAGATCGATAATGACGGGAAAGATGGCATGGCCCATGAAAGAGTCGTTGAAGGCAACGGCGACCAAATAGAACAGCGACAGCATGCCAAATGCCGCTACAAACATATCGTAGTTGATCAGTGAGGGGTTACCGGCGAAGGCTATGGCGATGACGTTGCCGATGAGGCCCATGATAATGAGTATGAAGACGAACTGCGCAAGAATTCTAGTCAGTACTGCGGGTTTGCTACACAGTATGAGAGCTCCCCAGGAACCTACCTGGATCGCCCGCAGGATGAGGTTAATTGTTCTGGACACCATCTTGGCTGCTTGATTGAGACCTGGATGAGCGATACAGCTGTTTCAATGTGATTGGAGATATTGCTGTAACTCGAGTACTTGTGAAAAAGTGCAGGTGGAAAACAGAGGTGAGAGAAAAAGTGCGGTAGAGGCAGAACTGTGTGTAAAGTAGCTGTAGGT